TAGGGCATAAAATGTTAAAGTGGATAAAAGGGCTCTATAATGGACCATCAGTGGCGGTTAAGGTCAACAGATCCCTTTCCAAGTTCTTTAAAATGCATAATGGTACTAGACAAGGATGCCCACTCTTTCCTCTGTTATTTGTATTATCCTTGGAACCCGTCCTGGTGAGGGTAAGAAAGTGGGTCGATATAGCTTGAATAAATATAGTGGAAGTGGAGCATAAGGGTGGCAGCATATGTAGATGATATGTTATTCTATATTGTAAATCCCAGAATAACATTGGATAACTTCATGAGACCATTAGAACAATATGGCGAGCTATCGAATCTGAAAGTAAATCCTGCAAAGTCAGAGATTCTAAATATTAATATCACAAAGCTAGAGAAGCTGAGTTTACAAAAAAATTTTCTATTCACTTGGAGGAAAAAGAAAATAGGCTACCTGGGAATATAAAACTAACTCCTTCAATAAAAGCTCTATACCAGGCAAATTATATTCCATTAATAAATGAAATAAAGGATAAGCTGGGGAGACTTTCAAAGGGTGGAGCCTCCTGGATAGGTCGTATAAACTTGATAAAAATGGTGATGGTACCAAAAAAATCTGTACATGCTTCCAGTACACCTACCAGAGTCTTTTTTTTTGGGTAATAAAAAAGATGATACTTAGGTTTATATGGGCAAATAAGAAACCGAGAATTAGGCATGAGATTTGGTGTAGGGCAATAGGGAAGGGGGGATTGGGCTTGCCTAACGTTAGGAATTATTATTTAGTGGTGAATTTATCATGAATAGTAGATTGGACATTTAACTCACGAGGGAAAGGTTGGGCAAATATAAAAGGGTTTTCAAGTAAGGCACAGTTAAGGAAGATCGTTTGGATACCACATAAATTTTGCACATTAGACGTGAATATCAGTCCATTGGCAAAGAAAGTTTAAGTGTTTGGGACAGAATGCACAAGCAAAAGTGATGGAAACATAATTCAGTTTTGATTCCCCTAATGAGAACGGAGTATTTTCCCCCAGGGAAGGATGATATCTCTGGGAAATGGACTAAAGATAAAAATGCATGTCTGAAGGACATATTGAATAATGGGAAATTGCACACTTTTCAAGATTTAAAGAAGAAAAAAATTTTATTTATCATATTCGATGAGTGGCGGTATTGTCAATTAGGACATTTTATTACAATGCTCCGACAACCACTGAGGACGTCGGAGGATCTGTATCCATTTGAAAAACTATTGAATGTAGCTACAGTTCCAAAACAAGTTACCTCCAGGATTTATAAAATCCTTATGGATCCTCCCCAGTTCTTGGAAAAATGGGAAAAGGAGCTTGGCACAGAATTGAATGAGCAACAAAAGAATAAAATATTTAAACTAATTCATGAAGTGATGAATATGAGCACAGGGGATAAGGAGGTGTAAAATTGGAATTATGTATATGTGAAGTGTTTGTGTACTAGGTTCTTTTTGTATTGGAAAATTCAAAAAAACTATAATTAAAAAAAAAGAATATTTTTTTACATTTTAGAATGGGGTGCTTCGGGACTGTCCATAATTTAAGAGGGTGCCTTGAAAATGTCTATAATTTTAAAGGGTGCCTTGCCTAAAAAGAGTTGAGAAACACTGATATAAATGATAGAACACTATCCCTCCCACTAACACCAAAGATTCACTATTCTTTCCTTTAATACCAGTGATGGGGCACTATACCTCCTCCTACGGACCACAGGCACTATGTAATTTTTTTACTCTCACTGACCACCAATCCTGAGGTGTTGTTTACGCCCACTGATGCTGGGGCATTTTCTACTACTGGCCACAGTCTGGCCACCTTAAAATCTGAAGGACAGTAAACTTGGCCCATTGTTTAGAAAGTTTGAGGCCTCTTCTATAGGGGATCACACCTCCAGTACTCTACCAATTATGTCTAGGAGAATATTAGGGATGCACCAAAATGTAGATGGCCAAAATGTTTCAGCCGAAACCACCCCTTTTGGCCATCGGCTGATATGAAAAAAAAAACACCGATACAGGTGCCGAAAAAAAAACACCACCCGCCGTCGGCGCCACCCCTCACCGCCGACTGGGCGCCGCTGCCACCGCTAGCCTCTGTTCGGTAGTTCTCAGCCTTACCTGAGAAACCATCGATCCTGGCACTGGGCATAGAGATGAGTGAAGGAAAGATGGCCTCAACTCTTCTCTATGCTCTTGGAGGATCGGAGCAATGTTACTTCCCGTTTTGGCCATTTTTTTTTTAAAGCACTAGATCAATGCTTTTTTTTTATCCAATTTTTTACATTGCAGAGGAGAGATGTGCGGTCTTATTGACCCCATATCTCTCCATAAAGAGGACCTGTCACTAATTATTTCTATCACAAGGGATGCATATATTTCTTGTGATAAGAATAAAAGTGATTACAAATTTTTTTAAAGGGACAGTGCAAAAAAAACCCAAAAAAATATTAAACACTTTTTTTAAAAAAGTTTAAAGTGCCCCCGTCCCCCCGTGCTTGCACTTAGTGGTGAACGCATATGTAGGCCACGCCCACATATGTAAATGGTGTTCAAATCACACACGTGAGGTATCGCCACGAACATCAGAGCAAGAGCAATAATTCTCTCACTAGAACTCCTCTGTAACTTTACACTGCTAACCTGTAGACATTTTTAAATCATCACCCACTGCAGTTTCACGCCATTCCACGAGCATTAACAATTTTAAAGCGTAACATGTTGGGTATCTATTTACTCGTCGTAACATCCTCTTTCATATTTTAGAAAAAAATTGGGGTATATATTGTTTTTTTTTAATCAAAATGTATTTTTTTCCAAAAAATATATATTCATTTTTAAAAACTGCGCACTCTGGTTTCCAGCCAAGTGCATATTGAATTTTTGTTTTCGGTTTCGACACCAGAATTTTCATTTCAGTGCACCACTAGAGCACATGAAAACTCAACCCTGATTGTTCTCCATGTTATGTTGTTACTTTTACTCTAAAAACCTCAATAAAGTTCTGAAAAAAAGAAAACTACCACCATACCAATACCGTTGGTCACAGGAGCATGCCTCTAAAAGTTGCCTGATAGGAGCTTCCCTTGATGTTCTAAATGCAAATGCTGAGTAATCCCTACAAGTACATGCGTCAGCCACACAAGCCCTTCAGAAGTTCCTATCCTCTATTGATACCCAAAATAGCTGCAACAACCTCTGCAGCATTTTATAAAGTAAGGCATAAAGGAGATATTTTGGTAATATTATCAAATGCACAAATAGATGAAATGTTAGGAATATAAAATTCTGTAGAAGAGAATTTACGGTCTAACGGGTAAAAGATATGACACAAGAGCCAAGGGGGATTTGGCATTAGTAGATGTGTTTCTGATAACAATGAATGTTAAGAAATGTCAGGAAACATCAGGTTAAGATTACTATTCAGGGAAATACATGTTTCTGAAATGGTGGCATTTGAGGGTGCGCATAAATACTTGGAGGATTGGTGAATGCCTGATGGCACAGGGAAGGCAGTGTCAGCTGGGGAGAAGTCCTGGAGGAATAAAAAAAGTTGTGATTTTGGAGGAAGAATAAAAAAACTTGTGAGTTGGGTAAAGGTTCAGATTGGGCATTTGTGTGAAGGCTAAAGAAGAATTTTAAGACGATGCCAGAATGTGGAGATCCCTAACGCAGAAAAGTTTGTGTCACTGTCTTCGACAGCACCAACATTGTTGCCTGAGTGCAAATTGTTTGTTGTGATTATTATTGTTCTAATGTGACAGATTATTATTATTACAGGTACTTATATAGTGCTTTCAATTTATGCAGCGCTTTACATATACAGTGAAGGAAATAAGTATTTGATCCCCTGCTGATTTTGAATGTTTACGCACTCACAAAGAAATGATCAGTCTAAAACTCGAATGGTAGGTATATTGTAACACTGAGAGACAGAATGGCAACAAAAAATTCAAAAGAAATGCATGTCTAACAAATGATGCACTGATTTCATGAGGAAGGTTCATGAGAGAAATAAGTATTTGATCCCTTTCACAAAACATGACTTAGTACTTGGTGGCAAATCCCTTGTTGGCAATCACAGAGGTCAGACGTTTCCTGTAGTTGGCCACCAGGTTTGCACACATCTCAGGAGGGATTTTGGCCCACTCCTCTTGGCAGATCCTCTCCAAGTGATTAAGGTTTGGAGGCTGACATTTGGCAACTCGAACTTTCAGCTCCCTCCACAGATTTCCAATCGGATTAAGGTCTGGAGACTGGCTAGGCCACTCCAGGACCTTAATGTGCTTCTTCTTGAGCCACTCCTTTGGTGCCTTGGCTGTGTGTTTTGGGTCATTGTCATGCTGGAACTCCCATCCACGACCCATTTTCAATGTCCTGGCTGAGGGAAGAAGGTTCTCACCCAAGATTTGATGGTACATTGCCCCGTCCATCGTGCCTTTGATGTGGTGCAGTTACTTATTTCCCTCATGAACATGCAAATCAGTGCATCATTTGTTAGACATGCATTTATTTTGATTTTTTTTGTTGCTATTCTGTCTCTCAGTGTTACAATACACCTACCATTCGATTTTTAGACTGATCATTTCTTTGTGAGTGTGCAAACATTCAAAATCAGCAGGGGATCAAATACCTATTTCCTTCACTGTATATTGTACATTCACATCAATCCCTAATCCTCAAGGGGTGTACAATCTAAGGTCCCTAACTCACATTCATACATACTAGGGCCAATTTAGACTGGAACCGATTAACCTACAAGCATGTCTTTGGAGTGTGGGAGGAAACTGGAGTACCCAGAGGAAACCCACGCTGGCACAGGGAGAACATGCAAACTCCAGGCAGGTGATGCCATGGTTGGGATTTGAACCAACAACCTTAGTACTGACAGGCAGAAGTGCTAACCATTTAGCCACTGTGCTGCCCCTATGATATGTATCATCATCCCACTGGCGCTAACGCTGTCATTTTTTTTTCAGGATTACGACGGAGAGCGACAGAGTTTGGGCAGCTCATCGAAAAGCTTTTGGGGCTCTGCTCTAAGTCTCAAAAGTCAGGACAACAATGCCAACTTGAAGAATAAAAGCAGCATAGATGGCTCTATACAAGATGGGCAATGTAAGATGATTCCTACATATTATCAAATGCCCAATAGAGCATCACCGTATATTAAAATAAATTTAGGATTGGATGCGATTGGTTTAGATGAGTAAATTACACTTTTTTTTCACACATAGAGCTCTCAAGTATTTTTTATTTTAAAGAAATATTTTTTTCTAAGTAAGCCTGAGCTAGCACTGTTATTGAGTATCAGGAATTATAAGTTGTACATATTTCTGCACATAATAAATGGCATTGTAGCGTGCCTTCTAGCCTCCGAACCTGGGACAGTGACACAGGTAGTAGCACCACAACTACAACCAGTTCCCTGGTGCATGAGAGCTAGGGCTGGTTCCTACACCACTGCTGCAGCCTTTGTGATCTTAATGTAGAGCGGGGCAGATGTGCTGTTCAGGGAAGCTACAAAGCACATGTGGGGACCAGGGACGGACTGACAACTCATGGGGCCCCCGGGCAAGAGGGGATCATGGGGCCCCTGTGTCCTTGCCCAAACTCAAAAAAGCCTATGACGAAGGTACCAGGGGCATCTCATAGGGCCCCCTACTGACCCTGGGCCCTCGGGCAGCGCCCGAGTTTCCAAATGGTCAGTCCGCCCCTGGTGGGGACCATCCTCTGTAATTGCCGATCACAGCCACGGATGTCAGTCGCCGGGTCACAGCCGGTCGTTACCGGCTATGTCCCGGCAATCAGCGGCAATCGCTGACAGAGAGCACAGCTGCAGTGGCTGTGCTTTCTGTCAGTTCCCTGACAGCTCCAGGACACGCTGATCGGGACAGAAGAGTTTCTCCCGATCAGCGGTGTTCCCTGCAGCACACACCCCCGCCCCCTAGTAAAACACTCCCCTCACACAGTTAACCTTTTCACTTAATAATAAAGTTAACCCCTTCCTCGCCAGTGCCATTAGTACAGTGTCAGTGGTTTTTTTTTTGCACTGATCACTGTATTGGTGTCACTGGGGATGTCAGTGACCCCAAGTCAGTACCCCCCAATGTCAGAATGTCCGCCGCAGTCCCGCCATAAGTCGCTGATCGCCGCCATAAGTCGCTGATCGCCGCCATTATTAGTATAAAAAAAAACTAAAAATCCCAGTATCTTTCCCGCCATTTGTAAATGCTATAACTTTCACGTAAACCAATTAATTTACACGTATTGGGTTTTTTTTTTAGCAAAGACATGTCGCAGAATGCATTTTGCCAGGAATTTATGACTAAATTTGATTTTTAAATTTATTTTTACTGGACATGTTTTATAGCAAAAAGTCCAAAATATAGTTTTTTTTCCTCAAAATTGTCAGCCTTTTTTTTTTTTATAGCGCAAAAAATAAAAACCGCACAGGCAATCAAATACCACCAAAAGAAAGCTCAATTTGTGGGAAAAAAAGGATGTAAATTTAATTTATGTACCATATTGCATGACCGCGCAATTGTCCCTTAAACTAGCGCAGCGCTGTATAGCAAAAAAATGGCGTAAATTGCAATATCTATACCATAGTTTGTAGACGCTATAACTGTCACACAAAGCAATCAATATACACTTATTGGGATTTTTTTTTACCAAAAACATGGAGCAGAATACATTTTTGCCTAACTTTATAACCAACTTTGAGTTTACTATATATTTTTTATAGCTGAAAGTAAAAAATATCATTTTTCTTCAAAACTTTTCGCCTTTTTTTGTTTATAGCGTGAAAAATAAAAAGCGCACAGGTGATCAAATACCACAAAAAGAAAGCTCTATTTGTGTGAAAAAAAGGACGTAAATTTTGTTTGGGTGCAGCATTGCATGACCGCGCAATTATCAGTTGAATTAGTGCAGCGCCGAGTAGCAAAAAGAGGCCTGGTCATTAAGGGGGGTAAATCCTCTGGAGGTCAAGTGGTTAAACAAGTTTCTAGTAGACATGGAGCTACTGAGTGACTGAAATAATATAACCCATTTAAGTCACTTAGTAGCTCCAAGTGGTGTCTTTTCCCACAATTTTCTTTTTTACCTTTGTGAACATGTGCTATATGTGCTGACACACACTTGTATTTTAGGTTTAGCACTGGGTCCAACCAATAGTTAGGTTCCAACTGCCTTTTTCCCTATTAAGTTGCTAGTAGGCCTCAGTTAGTACATTTCAGTACTGCTTGAAGCTTTTTGAAAGCCTACTGAAGCCAGTTTGCTTAAAGATCCAGTCAACACTTCTTTTATGATCCATGATAAACATTCCCAAACTGGAACTGTAAAGGGCTTTAAAGGCTTCAACAAGGCTGCTCAAAAATTTCCAAAGACTTTGCCAATGCTTTGCAATAGCTCATTGTAAGCACTACTCTCATACATACTGAAATCAAATTGTAATCAAGGCCTTAAAAAAAAACTGAAATTTCTGTATTTAGCTGATTAATCCATCAGATTATAGGACCAATAGGGAGATTCGGGAGGGGTGGTGCCAAGCACAACTTTTGCAAGAAAACTCATATTTAGTGGTCTGTAAATCTTTTTGACGTGGTTTTTGCTGAAGACCTCTGTCTTTGCACTTTTTCCTCATTTGCTCAGTCTAAATTGTCCAGGTTTGTGACAGATTTACCTTGATGTAAATAACTGGGTTATTAATATTTTAAAATAACTCACTGCATGTCTAGTAGACTGGGTCAGTCTGATTCAAAACAGTAGGCTTTCTGCCAGGGGCGGACTGACCATTTGGAAACTCGGCACTGCCGAGGGCCCGGGGTCAGTAGGGGGCCCCATGAGATACCCCTGGTACCTTTTTCATAGGCTTTTTTGAGTTTGGGCAAGGACACAGGGGCCCCATGATCCCCTATTGCCCAGGGGCCCCATGAGTTGTCAGTCCGCCTCTGCTTTCTGCCCATTCAACTGATATTTATTTGCTGCTCTTCTGCATTGCTTCATTGCTTCTCTGGAGCCCTTGCTAAATACTGGGTATGGAGGATGGCAGGATAAAGTGCTTAGGCCTGAGACACTTGGCTGTCCTATTAATTAATGTAATATGTATGGAAAAAAAAAAAAATAATATATATATATATATATATATATATATATATATGGAGCTTTTCTTTAAAAACATTGTGATTTTTGTTTCAGTAATTCCCTATCACATCACCGTCACCACAGGCCAGGAGCGTGATGGTGGCACTGAAGCCCGAGCCTACATCATCATTATGGGCCCTCAGAAGATAAAGACAGATCGGCTCTGGCTGGACCTTCCCAAGGGAAAGAAAGGCTTTGCCCCGGGGTCCGTTGAGAAGTTCTCAGTTGTAGGTTTAGATGTGGGAGAGATTAAGAGGATGGAGGTGAGAGATCCTGATTACTATTATTCTTTCCTTCCTTTAACTGTTCCTAAATGAGAGCAACATCTTATGGGCCTAAGGTATACTTCAGCCAGAACTGAAAACTAACCCTTAAGATGCACAACCTACCTGCTCTGTACTTTAGTTATTGAGTCATACATTGCTATAATTAGGGCCGGTGCTAGACTATTTTGTGCCCTAGGCAAGACCAGCTACTTGCCCCCCCCCCCTGCCAAAAAAAAAAAAAAATTAAAAACAGTAGAAAATATTAAATCAACAAAACATGAAACTGCTAAATTTCTTTAAATTTGCAAAAATACGTGCCATAAGATGCCACCAGCATCAACATCAAAGACAAAATCAGTGTCACGGATGGACTATATCTGTGGCTGGCAGTGGCAGGGTGACAGTTGCAGTGAGTGGAGGGTGATGGATCCACACTCTGACAGATCCCAGGCTGGGATTCCCCAGGCAATGGGGGAGGTAAAACACTGCAGCAGCAGGCATCCCAGCCCACAAAAACACACACACATCACCTGCACTGAGCGATCCCACACAGTGACAGATCCAACACAAAACACCACCACCAACACTGACACAGATCAGCAAGCACTAGAAGAGCAGGCTGTGGGATGGTGATGATGTCATCACTCACTGACACATTGTGATGGCTGGCCCACCGGCCAGCTGGGGCACACTCACACAGACACAAGATATCAGAGTTGAACATTACCTTCCTCTGCAGGCGCAGCTTCACCTGTGCTGATGAATAGGAAGAGAAGGGCTGAAACTCCACAGTGATCAGCAGCCGCCAGCTGGCTTGCAGTAAGGGACTGAGTCTGAGAGGAACACTGGAAGGAACGGCAGCTCATATGCTACACTGGACCCAGACACCCAGCATCTTCCTCTGTCCTTTCTTCCGCCCCTCTGCCGCCCCTCCCCTCAGCTGAAGGTTCATTAATTACGTGGCGGTGCCCCACACAGAGAGAGTGCCAGCCTTTGTTGTGCCCAGGCGCCCCTAGATGGCAGTGCACCCTAGACAGCTGCCTAGTCTGCCTAGTGGAAGCATCAGCCCTGGCTGTAATGCACTAATGATTCCATCTTTTGGTGGTCTTGGAACCCCAGCTGATGTTGGAACACATTCTTCGCTGCCCCACCCATCAAAAATGCCTGAAAATGGGCAAAAAATTTGACTACTCAGGTGTTTCTTACAGTATACTCCTATGACTCTGCAACTTAAATTAAGTGTCTTTCTTTAAAGCAACAATGGCACATAACTGAAATATCTCTTCTTTGTTATGTTTTAAATTACCTGTCTAGTCACCAGTGCTTTGTGTCTTTAAATTTTCCAAGAACTGCAGTGCCCAGAGAATTCTTATCACCTAACTCACTTCAAGAAGTGTCGGATTTTTGGTCAGTGTTGTGATTATTTCCATCACCCCTTCGTTACTGCTATCCTGCAGTGATCTAAAAGCCTTTGGAACCACAATGTGCCCCAAATTTTAAAATATAAACAATAACCCATAGGTTTAAAAGTGTCTTTCATATCCTCAGAACACAGCAAGATTTTGCAATAAAACTTCACTTTTCTTCACAGCTCGGCCATGACGGGGCTACTCCAGAAAGCTGCTGGCTGGTGGAAGAAATTCAACTCAATGTGCCTACCAAAGGAGTCATGTACACCTTTGCTTGTAAATGTTGGTTTGCCAAAGACAGAGGAGACGGTCTCAGTGCCCGCACCTTCAATATGTTGGATGCAACCGCCATCACCATTGGCCAAAAGGTACCAAGTACAGGCAGTCCCGAACAAGATAGGTTCTGTAGGTTTGTTCTTAAGTTGAATTCATATGCAAGTGGGAACAGGTACATTTTTAAGTGTAACTCCACCCAAAAAATTATTTTTAAGTTTTGAATAGCATAAAGAAGGGTTAACTGGCCATGCAGTGAAATGGGATTGCTGACAGGTCTTCCGGACAGTAGGTGGCAGCATGCAGGGAGCAGCAAGATGGCTGCCTGGCAGTTTTGTGGGGACCAGCGTGACAATATGCTGCCTCCGTTCTTAAGTATGAGCGGTATGTAAGTCGGATGTTTGTAACTCAGAGATTGCCTGTAACCACACAAGCTATAATTGCCTTTCTCATTCGTGATTTTTCCATATTTATTATAGAAGACCTGAATGTACATGGCCCTTTACTGAATGACTTTCCTAAAGTCAAAACATTTCAATGTACTGACATACCGTACCTATATTATATATGAGATGATGTACTGGCTGCTGTAATAGCATATTTGGATTAATTAAAAAGTTGGGTGCCCATATAATTGCACTTCCAAACATGAGAGGGTTTTGGCGCTTGCAGCTTATCATTATGGTCTGAATCAAATTACCTGTACAATTTTCAAACAGTGCAAACAGCATGGTCTAACATCAGAATGTACTGCCTACAAGTAATAAACTGTAGACAACCAGTAATGCTAATATAATTTCCTACGTAAAAAAAGAAACTCTACATAAAGTGACAGTGTGTACCTTGTATCATAGTGGAGGACAGGGGCGGACTGACCATTCGAGCACTCGGGCACCGCCCGAGGGCCCGGGGTCAGTAGGGGGCCCATGAAATTTCCCTGGTACCTTTTTATAGGCTATTTTGGGTGATTTTGAGTGTGGGCAAGGACACAGGGGCCCCATGATCCCTTATTGCCGGGGGGCCCCCCCATGAGTTGTCAGTCCACCCCTGGTGGAGGAGGAAGCAGTACTGGATCAATAAACTGTTAATAAGGTTACAGTGTGTGCCTTATGAGATAGTGGAGAAGGAAGTAGTGTCAGATGCTGGAGGTGGAAGCAAATTACATCACCGATCTTGTCTCTAAATATCACCCAAACCGTACTCTCCGCTCCTCGCAAGACCTCCTGCTCTCTAGCTCCCTGGTCTCCTCCTCCCATGCTTGTCTCCAGGACTTCTCCAGAGCTTCCCCCATCCTCTGAAACTCTCTACCCCATTTTATCAGACTATCACCTACTCTGCTCACTTTTAGCCGATCTCTGAAAACCTATCTCTTCAGGGAAGCCTATCCTGCCCTCAGCTAATACTGGAATCTTCTACTCTTCCAACCAGTCCATCCCCCACAGTTACTACCTTTTGTACCACTAGCCCCTCCCCCCTAGATTGTAAGCTCCAAGGATCAGGCCCTCAAATCCCTCTTGTATTGTTACTGTATTGTTGCTGTATTGTCTCCCATTATATTGTAAAGCGCTGAGCGAACTGTTGGCGCCATATAAATCCTGTATAATAATAATAATAATAATAATAATAATAATAATAGTAATAGTGGACCAGTAAGTTTTATATATGCGGTATTCTCCCCATTCACACATTCAAATTGATAATGTTCTAATGCAGTGTTTCTCAACCTTTTTTCAGTCAAGGCACCCTTTAAAATTATGGGCAGTCTCGAGGCACCCTATAAAATTGACAGTCTTGAGGCACCCTATTCTAAAATGGGGTGCCTCAAGACTGATCATCGTTTTAAAAGGGCACCCCATTCTAAAATGTTAAAAACTATTCTAATACTTTTATACAACGCAGCACCATCCACACATGTAGGACACCCAACATTAGAGGTGATTTATTCTTCCAAAGCAAATACACTTTTGCACACTGGTACTGACTAGTATTCCATTGTTTCTCCTCTCCCTCAGTTTTTCCTCCATCACTGATCTAATGTGACCCCAGCACTGATGGAAGGGGCAGGGGAGGGTCAAACTAGGATGGTGTGCAGGCAACTGATATCCTTCTTATCAACTGATGATGTCATTGCTTGTCAGGACAAGGCGGCTAGAAGGTTGTAATGGAGCACAATGAAAACCTGTGGCTTTGTGTAACTAAAAGGCAGGCTTGTTTCACCCGATGGCTTGTATACAAGTTTTGGGCAATTTTTAGACATTTTACCAAGGCACCCTTGAAGAAACCTCAAGGCACCACAGGGTGCCTGGGCACCCTGGTTGAGAAAGGCTGTTCTAATGGACAAAACACATCAGAGAGGAGTGTGAAGTGCTGACGTCACGCTGCTGCACGATCCTGTGTCGGCAGGGGCTTTATATGTAAGCCCCTGCCGACACGGGATCATGCAGCAGCGTGACGTCAGCGGCTTTATATGTAAGCAGCCTTTTATGTTTGTTTAAATATGTTTTTATATCCAATATTTTAATAAATACTATACCATTGGAGATCTGTTTTGCTCCTGCGGAGCTTTATTTATCACAGTCCGGTTCCTGCTGAGAGGCGTTTGTTGATGCAGTTGCTTGGATGCCATTGCATATACATTGGTGGCTGTGGATACAATATATGAGCGTATATGCTGTTGTAATGGCAGCCATAGTTTCCTGTGAGTTTTAAATTCACAGGGAGACGGTGGTGAACCTCTGAGCACAATAATTGAAGAGTGACCACATGGTGGTGGAATCCTTATTTCAGGATTTTTACTAGGTCTTTTATCACTATAACATTTCAATATTTTATGTGGAGTTTATATGACATTGATCTTATCACTGTTAATATACTGTGGGTGTTTTTTTATCACAGTTTTGTTATTACACAATTAATTTGGTGGTGCTGCACTTTTTGATGTTATATATTTATGTAGGTTTGTTATACTACGTATTGGTGAGAGCAGCCACTCATTTGAAGACACAGCGCAGATATATTTTTGATTTGACACATTCGAATTGCAGAGCATGTCACCTGAGAACATTTTGACTTTGCAGTATTTGCACAAAACAAATTTATATGCAAGTAACACTATACTAGGTGTAATCCTGGACTCCCTTCTGTCCTTTCAGCCCCAAATCCAATCGCTGTCCAAATCTTGTAGACTTCACCTCCACAACATCTCCAAGATACGCCCGTCCCTGACCTCAGAAACCACTAAGCAACTTATTCACTCCCTGGTTATCTCTCGCCTTGACTATTGTAACTCCCTCCTCATTGGCCGACCTCATCGCAGGCTATCCCCTCTTCAGTCCATCATGAATGCTGCTGCCAGACTCATCCACCTTACTAACCAATCTATATCTGCCACCCCTCTCTGCCAATCCCTCCACTGGCCTCCACTCAGTGTCCTCCACCCCTCTCTGCCAATCCCTCCACTGGCCTCCACTCAGTGTCCTCCACCCCTCTCTGCCAATCCCTCCACTGGCCTCCACTCAGTGTCCTTCACCCCTCTCTGCCAATCCCTCCACTGGTCTCCACTCAGTGTCCTCCACCCCTCTCTGCCAATCCCTCCACTGGCCTCCACTCAGTGTCCTCCACCCTCTCTGCCAATCCCTCCACTGGTTTCCCATTGCCCAATGGATAAAATTCAAAACATTAACAATAATATATAAAGCCATTATAACTGCCCCAAATTACATCACCAATCTTGTCTTTAAATATCACCCAAACCGTCCTCTCGGCTCCTCCCATGACCTCCTGCTCTCTAGCTCCCTTGTCTCCTCCTTCCATGCTCTTTTCCAGTACTCCTCCAAAGCCTCCCCCATTCTCTGGAACTCTCTACTCCAATTTATCAGACTATCGCCGACTCTACTCACTTTTAAGCGATCTCTGAAAACCTCTCTCTTCAGGGAAGCCTATCCTGCCTTCAGCTAATAATGGAATCTTCTATTCCTCCTACCAGTCCATCCCACACAGTTATTACTTTTGTTCCACCAGCCCCTCCCTCTTAGATTGTAAGCTCCTAGGATCAGGGCCCCCCTAACCCTCTTGTATTGAACTGTATTGTTACTGTATTGTCTCCCGTTATATTGTAAAGCGCTGAAACTGTTGGCATTATATAAATCATGTATAATAATAACACTGGAAGTGAATTTATCCTTACATGGAAGTGTTGTCTTCTGAATCTTCCAGGTTCTCCATGAAGTCACAGTGGTCACTGGTGACATTCCCAATGGAGGTACCGATGCCAATATTTACATGATATGTTATGGGGCCAGTGGGAGCACCGACGACATGCTGTTGCCAAAATGTGGAGACAGGTAAAATTCTTAACTTCATTTCAACAATGCCGCTAAAGAACCCAGAAATTAACAAATATGTGTCCAGTTTCATCTGTAGATTGTAAAACTCAGAAAATAATTGAACAAACTTTCTGTAACCAGCCAGGTTCCAGCAAATATAGTTCTTATTTTATGTAAGTTGGGTTTCCTAACACGGTTGGCACAGTTCATTCCTTGCTGGATTGGTATCATATAGCAATATCTCTCAGCATGTCACTGTTGAAGCAGCTGCAGGCTGAGGAGCTACAAAGAAGACAAGACTATTGGGAAGGGGGATCGTGTCTTTGTTTTTTGTCTGCTGCTACAGAATGATATGCTTGTGACTTTTCCTGGCTCAGCTGCCCACCCAAGTTTTTTTGGTGCCTGGGAAGTGTCAGACAGGATGCGGTTTGTATCCATCAAGGCTGTTGGATTACCCCCAGTGCTTCTGGAAGTAATACAGAGCTGATGAAGGTAGGCCAGGAAGAATAACTGTGCTAATGATGAAGAAACGGTAACAGAACTGGTCAGACATGTCCTATCTCCTTCCTTGCAGTACAAGTCTGTCGACACTTGTGCTGAGGGGTGTGGCAGTTACTCAGCTATGTCAGCACAGAGCACTGCAGTGTGGGGGCAAGAAGAATTCAATCACCTTCAGGAGGCATTTTCAAAAAAAATAATTTCTAGACCATTATTATACTGTAGGTATAGGTACTTATATAGCGCGTCGTTTTATGTAGCACTTTACATATACGCTCACCGGCCACTTTATTAGGTACACTTTGATAGTTCCAAGAAAATATCCCCCAGACCAGTGCACCACCACCAGCAACCTGAACCGTTGATACAAGGCAGCATGGATCCATGCTTTCATGTTGTTTACGCCAAAATCTGACCCTACCATGTGAATGTCGCAGCAACCAGCCTGCCCATTCTCCTCTGACCTCAACAAGGCATTTTCGTCGACACAAACTGCCACTCACTGGATATTTTCCAAGTTAAAAACCCAGTAGATCAGCAGTTTTTTAAATACTCAGACCAGCCCTTCTGGCACCAACAACCATGCCACATTCAAAGTCACCTAAATCTCCTTTCTTCCCCATTTTGATGTTCGGTTTGAATTTCAGAAAGTTGTCTTCACCATGTCTAGATGTCTAAATGCATTGAGTTGCTGCCATGTGATTGGCTGATTAACAATTGGTGTTACCAAGCAATTGAACAGGTTCACCTAATAAAGTGGCCGGTGAGTAGATATTTCATATTTCATCTAAGAGATTCAGTAGCCCAAGTGAGTAGATATTGTACATTCACATCAGTCCCTGCCCTCAATAACCTCACCATATAAAGTCCCTAATGCAGGCCATAGATGGGGAGAAAACTGGCTGATTTTTCTTTAAAAAACCAAAAAACCGGTTGTTCAATCAGCCGAGGTTACCAGGAACGGTAAAAAAAAAAAAAATCGGCCGATTTTCATCCCGTCTACAGCCGGCAAAAAGTGTCTCTGCAGAGAGCTCCGCTATTTCTTTGACAGTTCTTTGACATTTATAGCGGCTGCATCATTGTATCTATTTGTATCCATTTCGGATACAGATGTTTTTATTCGGAAACAGATACATTGTTGCAGCTGCTATAAATGTCAAGGAACTGTCAAAGAAATAGCGGAGCTCTCTGCAGTGACACTTTTTGCTGGACTGGAATTCTTCTTCTTCTTCATCCTCTTCTTCATCCTCTTTTTCTTCTTCATCCTCTTTTTCTTCTTCATCCTCTTCTTCTTCTTCATCCTCTTCTTCTTCATCTTCTTCTTCTTCCTCTTCTTCTTCTTCTTCTTCATTCTCTTCTTCTTCATCCTCTTCTTCTTCTTCTTCATCCTCTTCTTCTTCTTTCTTCTTTTTGTCTTCCTCTTGCAGGTCACTGCTCAAGCGCAGATTTTTTATTGGTAAAAAGATCGGCCGATTTGCCCATAATTGCTGCGAAAATCGTCCAATCGGCAAAATCGGCCGATCTTTTTCCAACTTTACCGATAAAAAAAATCTGCCAAAATACCGAAAAACGGCCAACCTATTAACCCACTAACAATCCGAAAATTGGCCGATTTTATTTTCGGCCGAAAAATCGGCCCATTTTCGACCCATCTATGGCCTGCATAACTCACATTCATACATACAAATACTGGGGTCAATTTGGACAGGAGCCAATTTACCTACCAGCATGTCTTTGAGTGTGGGAAGAAACTGGAGTACCCGAAGGAAACCCATGCAGGCACTGATGACCCTAGTGCTGCTAGGGTTGGGCGTAGGTACAGAATTGTAATGAGCGACTGGTCTTGAGCCTCCTTTTTTCCCCTTCTCGCAAGGAACTCTCAGATTAAGATGGCAAGCATAGTGCCAGTAGAGCTCCCACTGTTGCCCATCTCTCTGCTGGGTAAGGAATTACAGGAGCCTGGTATGAAGATAGATTCTGGTACTTAGAGATGAATTCTAGGCATAGTATAGTGTTACATAGTTACATTGGTCCAGCTTGTGCTCACATTGCTTCAGGCCAGAGACTCAGCATGGGCCCCGAAAGCAAGGGGAGATCACTACAGTATTGGTGTGTACTTCAGAGATTTACAGCTTCCAGGGCATCAGCCAAGTATTGTATATACATAGTTACATTGGTCCAAGCTAGACAAATTTAACTATCTAAAAATATAGCATGGCTGGAGTTTTTCTATAATATAGTTCCAGCAGGAATACACTTAATAATTTTTGTAGAATCTATAACTGTAGAAAATAGATTCTTAATGTTATGTGTATACAGGAGATACAAGAATTATGAAAGCTGCCGATGGTGTTTCCATGCCGCAGGTTGGCTGAGTTCTTGTCCCCGGTCCATGGGGCACTAGATAATGAAGTCTAGATCAAAATGAAATTCTCAGAGCCAGAACTTCTAAAGACCAGATCAGTAAAGGCAAATCACAAGCTTTTTTTCTGGCTTACTATATGTCATAAAAAATATTTTTTCATCAATTAAATTTCCAGTAAAAAAGACAAATTGCAAAATGGAGCAAAGCACAAACTCTCTGTTTTAATATTTTCTAGGGACATGATAGATAATGATCAAGTGTACAACCTGGCAGCCTAGCCTAGATGTTCCTTAAACATCTCTGTCCATGTCACTTTCAGGTTTGAGAGAGGTCAAAGAGACACATTTGTGATGGAAATTGCTGATATTGCACCTTTCAAGAAGATGAGGGTCTGGATAGATGGGAAAGGAAGTCGTCCTGAGTGGTTTCTTGAAAAGGTAACACATAGGTGTTTTTATGCTTCTTGCATTTCCCTCTACCAACCTCTGCAACTGCTAATACTTTCCTTCCATTTACTTCTCTGGGAGTAGGACGCCTTGTGTAAGGTCCAAGTGGATCCCAATCAAAGATTACTCAGGGACTTTTCCTGACCCCCCATGTGACAGCGCTGGTGCCCAAACAGTCAATTGGCAAGCACAGAGACTGTCACGTGGGAGCAAGAGGTGAGTACATGCTTCCTCATACCTACAGTAAAAGTACTGCAGAAGGAAGCATGTAGGGTGGGAGCAGGGAAGTGGAGATTTCTCCTCATTTGCTGCCTATATTCTAACCTTTCCCCATTCTGTTCAAAACTTAAAAAGGACATCTAAACCCAAAAGCAGAAAATGTAATATAAACAATGTGGTTACTCTATGAATAGAACTATGCTCTTTTGGATAGGTGGTGAAAATTAGAAACACAATAGGCTGCTGTCTTAATTTATGATATAAAATAAAGATATCTTAAGATATAAGATGTATAGTAAGAGTATATAGCATTAAGCAATTTCTCACAAGACAGCGGTCTCATACCTAAGCCTAAATAAATACAACAATCAATATAAAACACGTTAAAAAAGTTGGACCATCAATATTCAAAAATCTTCTTATGTTATCCACCACCAGGTGAGTAAAGGTGCACAAAAAGAATTCCACCAATAAATGTCCTCCCACACATATAGGTAAAAGTCCTTTAGGGTAGACTTCAATTTCAGGTATTCCACTTAAATCACCAAAGTGTCATCTGTGAGCTACTCTTCCCTCCAGACACCCTACTGACCAAAAATAGTAAATTGTTTGGCATGGACACATAATTTCCCAATGGCCATGTGATCCTTGGTATTATATCTGCTCAATGATTTGATCCAGTCACTAAAACTCACAAGGCGGAAAGACAAACGAACCACATAGCGTAATCCTGTTTCATGGACACATATTTGCCCAATGGTCACGGGATCCTTGGTATGACATCCGCTCAATTATTTGATCCGGTCACTAAAACTCCAAGGGGGAAAGACAAATGAGCCACATAGCGTAATCCTGTTTCAGGATCACCAAATTAAATCACCAAAACCCCCATTAAAATGTACTTACAAGTGTATATAAGATTGCCCTTTTCACATACATAAATCATCCAAAAAACAACATTAAACCGCATGGTGGATATGATTGGCATCTCACCGCACTTCCGTGTGCAGCCTGCTGCATCACCTCTGGCTAACGGACCGTCGTCACTTCCAGATACTGATGTTACGTATGGTCATACACTGTGTCAGGAATGGATTCACCACTGGTGGTGGGACTCACCTGCTGTGTGGGCTGCAGTACCAGGGTTGCTCTCAGCAACCAGAAGCTCACTCCTGCAATCAGCATCACCTGAGGCTGATTGCAGGAGGTGTATTTAAGGAATGACCAGACCTGCAGTCAGTGCCTTGGTGTATTGTTTCCCATGAGCCCCTGTACTTGGTATCCTGTGCTCCTGCCTATCTGCCTAGTTGCTGACCCTGCTTTGATCCTGACCTCTGCTGACCGTCTCCTGTTTAACCCCTGGCTTGCCTTACCATCCTTCTGCCTGATCCTCTGTACCGCGCTGCCCGTGAGTTACAGAACCCGGCTTGTGACCCTGACTATTCTCTGCCTGCTCCTCCGGTACCTCGCTGCCTGCACGTTTCTGACCTGGCATGCCTGACTACGCCTGACGCTACCTAGACGATCCATCCATTCATTCCGCATGGATCTGTCCCTGTTACCAGGTCTGCCAGCCTCTTCACGTCAGGCTCCTTTCCCCACACACCTCTGATGATGCTCTTTACCATTGCCGGACGTACTCAGGGGTCGCGACCTGGTCTCAGTCTGCTCCAAGTCCATCCCCACCATCAGGGGCCCTGGTGAATAAGCAGATTGGGACTTAGACCCCGCGCCCTGTACAGTACCTAACGGCCTGCCTGACCATTCCACCTCTCCAGCCCTGACTATGCCTGTGTTCCCACACATTTCTGGTCATACCCAGATCCCTAACACACTGACGCGTTTCGTTATCAAGACTTCCTCTGAGGAAGTCTCACGGATGACACTGCGGTGATTTAAGTGGGATACCTGAAGTTGAAGTCTACTGTAGAGGACTTTTACTTTCATGTGTGGGAGGACACTTAACGGTGGACTTCTTTTTGTGCGCCGTTACTCACCTGATGGTAGATAACATAGGAAGATTTTTGAATATTGATGGTCCAACTTTTTTAGTTTGTTTTATATTGCTTGTTGTATGTATTTAGTCTTAGTCTTTAGTCTTAGTCCCTTAAATGTGGTGGCTGTATTATTTTCATTTTTCAGCCTTAGAACATTTATAGTAAGTACCAGAAAAAAACTGATGTTGCAAAAAAATCAGTGTAATTTCCTGTGGCCTGAACTGAAAGCACAGTCTTATCTATCTTGCATGCTATATTCTGAAAACTTCTTGCTGACCTTCCCCCAAGTAATAAAGATGAAGAGAAAAAGACCTACTGTATTTGTAGTTAAAATAATAGGAGCAACCTGAGTGACAGCTATGGTTTCTCCATAGTGAATGAGCGTTGTCACCTTTGGATGGGAAGTGTGGTGTTGTTAGGGATCCGGGTATGACCAGAAATGTGTGGACTGACACAGGGAAGTAGCAGGCTTCAGGAACACAGGCGTAGTCAGGGCTGGAGAGGTGGAATGGTCAGGCGGGCCGTAAGGTACAGTCAGGCACCGCCTGGCGGGATCTCTAGTGACCCACAGAACAAGATTCCCCAGGGCGCGGAGTCTAAGCCCCAGTCTGCCTTTTCACCAGAGCCCCTAATGGTGGGGATGGACTTGGCGCAGGACTGAGACCAGGTCGCGGCCCCTGAGTGCACCCAACTGTGGTAGAGGGGTCCGTCGAGGGTATGTAGCGGGGGAAAGCCTGATGTAAAGGGGCTGGCAAGTTTAGACAGTAGTGACTGGATCCGTGCGGGATGGATGGATTGACTGGGTAGCGTCAGGCGTAGTCAGGCAGGCCAGGTCAGCAACGTGCGGGCAGTGAGGTACCGGAGGAGCAGGCAGAGAATAGTCAGGGTCACAAGCCGGGTTCAGTAACTCACGGGCAGCGCGCTACAGAGGATCAGGCAGAAGGAGAAGGATGGTCAGGCAAGCAGGGTTTCAACAGGAGACGGTCAGCAGAGGTCAGGATCAAAGCAGGGTCAGCAACTAGGCAGATAGGCAGGAACACAGGATACCAGGTACAGGGGCTCATGGGAAACAATACACCAAGGCCCTGATCACAGGCCTGGTCCTGCTTAAATACACCTCCTGCAATCAGCTTCAGCTGATGGCTGACTGCAGGAGTGAGCTTCTGGTTGCTGAGAGCACCCGCTGGCCAGCCCTGGTACTGCAGCCCACATGGCAGGTGAGTCCCACCACCAGTGGTGAATCCATTCCTGACAGAATTACCAGAATTAGTGTAAAAAAGACTAAAAAAAAACAAATGCAGCCACCATATCGAAGGACTGGAAAGATCAAAATACTAATATTCTTTTCTAGGTTCAGATACACTGAACCTCTGCTTCATGGGTTGTGGTCTTGCTGGAAACCATGTGCATGTGTTTTGGGCTTGTCCTAGTCTCTCCTTGATCTGGAATAGAATCTCCGTGTTGGCTTCTGCCCTGGCGGAAGTCTATACAAATTTATACAAATTTGTTTATTGGGAGCTCCTATTCCTGGTGTTCCTGTCAACGAGATGAGGCTAATCCACACGATTTGTGTCTCATCCTTATGGGCTATTGCCCTTCACTGGAAGTCACCGACTGTTCCTTTGGCCTCTGTTTTTTGGAGAGTTGACATGGTTATGCCCATGGAACGTATCCACTATACACTGCTAGATGCACTTGTTCAACAGAAAATGGGATGGTTGGAAAACACATCGCATTTATTGTCTGACTGATGGTCTATCATGGCTCGTTGTGTTTGGAATCTTTGTTAACAGCTTGGTTGTTTTGTATTTCTTACTAACTTCCTCATTCATGTACGTGCATTTATCTTTTTTATGCTTGTATCTCATTCTACTGTTTCTCACGTATGTGCCTTTTTCTTGAGCTGTTTTGTTCTTCAAGTGGATATACTGTTACTGTTGTTTAACCTTTAATAAAATCGTTTGTAAACAAAAAAAAAAAATTTTTAGATTTAGTTCTAAATAAATATATAAAGTGCTAATATACTAAATAACACAAATAAATAAATAATACTGTCCAAAAAAAAATGTCCACAATAAAATAAAATATAAGGTATAAAATAAATAAAATAAACAAAAGTCCTCCAACAGTGATGTTGATAATACTTTATGTGTATCTATGGTATCACACTATGTGAGTTCTCTCTTTTCTTTGAGGTACGATCTCCGTAAATCATTGGATTCACATCCTGCTGGAAGTCATTTTGCGGATTGTCTACTTGGAGGACTTTTGTTTATTTTATTTTATTTATTTTATACCTTATATTTTATTTTATTGTGGACATTTTTTTTGGACAGTATTATTTATTTATTTGTGTTATTTAGTATATTAGCACTTTATATATTTATTTAGAACTAAATCTAAAACTTTTTTTTTTATTTACAAATGATTGTATTATAGGATTTTTTTTTGGACAGTATTATTTATTTATTTATTAGTGTTATTTAGTATATTAGCACTTTATATATTTATTTGGATGATACACTTTTTGGGGTGAAAAGTGTTTAGGTGCAACTGGGGAATTATTTGAAGGGAACAATGTTTATTTCTGTCATTTAGATTTAGTTCTGCTTATTGGAAGAACCAAGTTCAATGTCTACCTCCCCTGTGCATTGCTAAACATACTGAGATATTACAGGTGCTCTTTAAAAGATACTCATTATCTGGTGGATCTTCTCACAATGTGGCTGTAACCTTCTGACATATATCATATGGTCTGAGCAGATTATACTGAAAAACATGAGTAATGAGGAAGAGACGACGTTTACCTATGGCGACTGGCTGTCAAAGACCAAAGGTGAGAAGAGGCAACTCTCCGTTGAGATGGCGGCGGTAGTGGATGAAGAGGAGATGGTTGATACCACCACATACACCATACAAGTGAAGACTAGTGACGTATCAGGTATGTATGCGATTAGTTGATTTTGGTGTAAATGAGGCAAGATATTGCTCACCATTAGCTGGAGCCTCATAGATCTTATGTATGAAAATTGGCAACATTTCTACATTTGTAAAGATGTCGAAATGGATAGTCCCTGTACTGAAAAAGTGCAAAATATCAGCCTTTTATAATTAGAAACGGACTATACAATATTTATTTCCAGCCAATGTGTTGGTCTATTATATAATAAGAAGATGAAGACTCTCTTTTTTTTTTTTTTTAATATAATAGGTGGCGGTACTGATGCCAACGTTTGCATGATAATCTTTGGAGAGAATGGCGACAGCGGGACACTTGCGTTGAAGCAGTCGAATAACAACAACAAGTTTGAGAAAAATCAGATGGACTCTTTCCGCTTTCCGGATATGCTAAGCCTGGGCGACCTCTGCAAAGTGCGCGTATGGCATGACAACTCTGGTAAGTGATGATTATCGCTGCGGGGCGCGCATGTTAGCCATAGCTGTTGGAATACATGAGGTTGCAGGTAGAGAGCATTTATTAAGGTTGCAGAACTCCAAGGTGAATCCAGAATTCTAAAAAGCTGGTCTCAATATTGCACAGTTTTACAAGCTCCTCTCCTGTACTAAAATTGCTAATTTTGATTATACTGCACACTGTGAGCTTTTCACACAATGGTGTACTGGACCTGCCACTCTGTGGGTGGCTAGTTCCCTCCCTGGATGTCAGATTTGCTCCTACCACATCACAGCAGTATATTCAGTTCCAGGACAGGCTCGTGCAGTGCCTAGAGCAAGGACGCAGAACTGCATCCCCCTCCCCCGCTGCTGTAAAATGGGCATTATCCCCCCCTTGCACCAGTTGCTCATGGTAGGCTTTGAGTGTGCAGTGTACGTGCATGGTCAATCACTTGCTTCCAGCAGCTAGAAGGTATTTGTGTATGCATGGTGGGATTTGTGTGTCAACTTTGGACAGATGGGTTGGAGAGTGGGCATGTTGGACCACAGTGTGACAGTAGTAGTGGCCAGAGCATACATGAAGTCATGGCTCACTGGTAGACAGCCACTGGTCTGGAGAGTAGGAGTGTTGAGGGTGTGCCATCCATCTGTGTACAGTCTCAGTTATGCAGGCCATAGACGAGGAGAAAACCGGATGTTTTTTTTTTAGAAAAATGAAAAAAAAACGGTCATTCAAAAAGTCTGATTTTTGTCCCGTCTAGGGACGGCAAATATAATAGCGGTGTCCCTGCAGAGAGCTCGGCTATTATATTTGACAGAAGAAAAAGAATATGAATAAGAAAGAAGAAGAAATAGAATATGAAGAAGAAATAGAATATGAATAAAAGAAAAAAAGAAAAATAGAATAAGAAGCAGAAATAGAATATGAATAAGAGAAGAAAAGAAGAAATAGAATATGAATAAGAAGAAAAGAAGAAAAATAGAATAAGAAGCAGAAATAGAATATGAATAAGAAAAAAAGAAGAAATAGAATAAGAAGCAGAAATAGAATATGAATAAGAAGAAGAAAAGAAGAAAGAAATAAGAAGCAGAAATAGAATATGAATAAGAAAGGAAAAGAAGAAATAGAATATGAATAATAAGCAGAAATAGAATATGAAATAAAAGGAAAAAGAAGAAATAGAATAAGAAGCAGAAATAGAATATGAATAAGAGAAGAAAATAAGAAATAGAATATGATTAAGAAGAAGAAGAAATAGAATATGAATAAGAAGAAGAAATAGAATATGAATATGACGAAGAAAAAGAAGAAATAGAATATGAATAAGAAGAAGAAAAGTTGCAAGATTGTATCTATTTTTATCCATTTCGGATACAGATGTTTCTATTTGGATACAAATAGATACAATGTTGCTTACTTTTAAATGTCAAATATAATATCGGACTGAAATTCTTTTTTTTTTTCTTCTTCTTCTTATTCATATTCTATTTCTTCTTATTCTTCATTTTTTTCTATTTCTTCTTTTTCTTCTTTTTATTCATATTCTATTTCTGCTTTTTCTTCTTTTCCTTCTTCTTGCTGGTCACTGCTCATGCGCATTTTTTAAAATCGGTAAAAAGATCGGCCAATTTGTCCATCATTGCCGCGAAAATCGGCCGAACGACAAAAATTGTCTGATTTTTTTTTTCAACGTGACTGACAAAAAAAAAGTGTCAAAATCACGAACAACGGGCGACCGATTACCCCACTAACGATCCGAAAATCGTTCCGATTTTTTTGTCGGCTGAAAAATCGGTCGGTTTTCTCCCTGTCTATGGCCTGCATTAGAGGTGCTGTCTGCATGTAACCACGCAATCAATGCCAGTGTCAGGCCTTTGATATTCACGCAATAAACACTTGAGCCCCTTATTTCTCAGACCAGAGACTGCATACTCTTTCTTGGTTTTATTAGGCTTGATAAATACTTTTTATTTTTTGGAATAGTTTGTGGGGACTGGTTTAGAAAAACAGAACCTGCACATCTACTGGCACTAGCCTGGATGTGAGGGCAGGCATACTTATACGTTTTATGTGAGTACTTGTTTAGCGGATTGTTGGCACTGCACTTGGCCCCTTCTGAGCATGGGTGCAGTGCCGGCATATGTGGATTTACTTTTAGCTACAGCCGCAAGTAGCTTGCCTTAATGCAGCTCATAGGATGGTATTACAGTGAGAAATGCTTCCTGAACCGAATACCCATTATGTGCAGTGATTGCACAATGGGCCCCCTCCACCTTGGGGCCCATGTGCACTACAGGCAATGTACACAATAGTGAACTGGTACAAGTGTCATAATGTGATTGGTGGTCAGTGTTCTCCATAATACTTCATGTTACATTTATAAAGCAAATGAGTGGCTTTATTCGACACCAATCAGTCTGTTTCTCATTTAGCAATGTATATGCAACAGTTTTTCTATGTATTTACATAGTTGTTGTTAAAGTGGAACTATACTTTATCTGATGAAAAGTATACCTTACGGTGCCGTACCAAGCTATGGATGGAAAGCAAAAAGGAAAGATCCTCTGTGACCATTGTGACCAAGCCCCAATGGGCGGGGTGAAACGCAACAGAGGGCGTTCCTCAACATTGGATTCCTGGGGTTGGTTGAGCAACGTCCATCCTTTCACTTACACTGTATCTGAGCAGCACAAACCAAAAGCACAAATTTTTAACCATTTGCCGCCCGCCCTATGGCCGAATGGCGGCCGGCAAATGTCATCAGCGTTCCGGGTGGACGCCATATGGCATCCTCCCGCACATGCGCAGATTGCGCTCCTGCAGAGCCGTGCAGCGGCGCAATCTCTCACCGGCCGTGTACCTCGGACACGGCCGATGACAGATCTGAGTACCGGCCCCCCGTTGCCGGTACCATATGAGCTGCTGTGACCAATCACAGCAGGTCACATGACAGTTGTATACAATGGATGGCTTCATTCATGCCCTCCATTGTATACTAGTGGCTAGCTGTGAATGGTCACAGCTAATCACATGCACATGTCATGTGATTAGCTGTGGCCAAATCACAGCTAAGCACAAAAAAAAAAAAAAAAAAAAAAAAAAAAACCTGAATGAATTGATGTCATTCAGGTAAATGCTTGCTTATAGCAAAGTAATTCTTTACTATAAGCAAATTGTGTAACAAAAAAAATACTGATCACTTCCCCAAAGTAGTCCAATGTTACTATGGTAACATTGTACTACTTTGGTCATAGTAAAATATGAAAAAATAATCTTAAAAAAAAGAAAAAAAATGTAATAAATAAAAAAACAAAAACAAATTATACATATATATATTTTTTTTTTTTTTTCATACTGTCACCAGTCAGTGTCCCTGACCACCGCCATGCCAGTTATATGATGACACTGTACTGCACTGGTGACAATATGTAAAAAAAAAAAATAGTGAAATAAATTTTTTACATTTTTTCATTTTCCGAAAAATTATGACAAAAAAAATACAACTTCAAAAAACTCCCCATGCCTCTTATGAAGTACGTCGGACTGTCTACTCTGCAAAAAGGGGTCATTTGGGGGATATCTGTACTATTCTGAGATCTTGGACCTCAAGAAATTAGATTGGCCGTCAGTACTTCAGGATTGATCAATATTCAGATATATACCATAGTTTGTGAACTCTATAACTTTCCTACAAACTAAAAAATACATCCTAATTTGGGTTATTTTCACCAAAGACATGTAGCAGAATACATCTCGGCCTAAATTTATGAAGAACAATTATTTATTTGCAAACTTTTATAACAGAAACAAAGAAAAATGTGTTTTTTTTTTTTTAATTTTTGGTCTTTTTTTGTTAATTTAGCAAAAAATAAAAACCCCAGTGATGATTAAATACCACCAAAAGAAAGCTCTAGTTGTGTGAAGAAAACGATAAAATTTTAGTTTGGGTACAATGTCGTATGACCGCGCAATTGTCATTCAAAATGTGAGAGCGCTGAAACCTGAAAACTGGCCTGGGCCGGAAGGGGTAAAATTGCCCGGTATTGAATTGGTTAATATTCAAACACACTCATCCATCCATGTTTTATTTTGCTGACAAATCACTTTGTATTTCAATGGTTTTTATTAATTTGTAACATTTCAACAAGACTTGAGCAACAAGACACACCCATGCAGGGGCTATCAATGGCAGATAAAAAGCCAAGAAAACAGTGCTCTAACACCAACTGAGCAAAAGGTGCGCCCACGCAGGGGCTATCAATGGCACATAAATAACTAAAACAGTGATATAACACTGACAGTAGCTCAAACCAAAGGCAACTAGCCACACAAAAGGCAAACAAAAATATATTAAAAAAAAGGACAGCAGAAGAAGGAAAAAGGAAAACACCAATATCGAACAACATCACAAACCCAAACTAGCCGGGGGGAGCGTGGGAAAAACATATGTCAACCACGGCTCCCATATTTTAAAAAAATTTTCCATTGGGAGTCGTTACAGATACTCAATATCTGTTCATTGTGCATCAGAGTGGTTATACGGTCTCGCACCCCCTGAAGAGGGACAGATGGGATCTTCCAGGCCTGAGCAATTGTTCTAGTGGCCGACAAAAACAAATAGGAAGCCAACTTCTGCTGATGAGCCAAGAGGCCCGGTATGGGACAATGAAGCAAAGTGTACTGAGCATCCCGGCGTATGGAGAGACGGAGAAAGGTGAAAAGGAGGCCAAATACATGAGACCAAAAACGAACCAGTTTCAGTCATGGCCACCATATATACAACACGTCTCCACGATGACCACAACCCCAAAAGCAGCGATCACTGCAGGCACGGTTCGCCTGGGCCAAACGATAAATTAACAATGCCCCAAAAGCAGGTCACAATTAGTGTGCTTGCCTGCACCAGCCTGCCCTGGATCGC